GAGGGTGGGTAATGGGTATTGAGGAGGGCACCTTTTGGGATGAGCACTGGGTGTTGTACGCAAATCAATTTGACAATAAATTTCATATATTGAAAAAAATAAATAAATAAAAATTTTATGTAAGGGCATTCAAATTCAGCTTCTTTGCTCTCTTACCTCTTACCATATCTTGCTGGGACCCTGGTATTATACTTGTAAGCTTTTCATCCCTACCAGGAATGTTAGGAACCACAAGGAACAAATATTTCTCCTTTGAAAATAGGAACATTTTAGTATCTCTATACTGACTACACACACCATGAGTGTTGTCTACTTAGAATGTTCTTTGCTGCTTAATTTCTGTACATCATTGGCTTTAGCTCATGCAGACAAAATTATTTTTAAGGCACTATACTGAACTGACATGATTTGTATCCAAAAGCAAAAAAAAAGGTTCTAGAAACCTTTTGAGAGCCTAAAATGTTACCATAGTTCCAATGGGACATATTTGCCAGCTGAATGGATGAAGTCTGAAAATGCAGGGGGAATAGGTTATTTTTAATTGCAATATACATGATTTTTTTTGTTAGGTCTATTAGAGAGCCATAGGTAATGGCCAATTAAAAAATTAATTATTAAAATAACTAATTATAGTAAATCTTGGATTGTAAAAGTAACTCTGTAAGTATTCCACAAAACAAGGAAATATTTCTAATAAATTTTAACTTGATAAATGAGTCATGTCTTACAATAGTAGTATGTGAAACAAAGTCACATGATCACAACTGACCCAATGGCTCACTCTCTCCCTCTCTCTCTCGCTCTGTCTCTCTGTCTCTCTGGCTGTGGAATTGTGGGTGACCATCTCCCATGGTCACATGCTTGATCTCAGGCTGTGGCAGAAATCGGTGGCTTCAGAACTCTGGAGGGTGCCCACAACTGGCACTAGTGTCTTGTTTGTCACTTCAAACCACCTATGTACGTACTTCACTTTTTCACACAAGAGTAAGCTAAGGAATGCTTTGTTTCATTTTAGGTCAGACTGCCTTCAGATATAGACTCTTTCCTCTGCTGTCTTACTGTCAGTTTCATTAAATATGACAAGAATTTATTAATATTGTATTGTAGTATCTCTGAAAGCGTATATGACGGCCCCCATGCAGAAAACGGTTGAAAAGAAAGGCAGTGAGAAGGAGATGATCATGGTGGATGTTAAGAAGGAAATCATTGAGCAGTACAAACAAGGCATGCAAGTGGCCGAAACTGCAAGATTTAATGGGAAGTCTACATCTGCATCTCATCTGGAGAGGAGGAGAAAAAGGTAGAGGAATCCCTCACTTCAAATGAGATTAGGGAGATGTGTAAAATGTGGAAACGGTGCAAAATTTTATAGAAATGCACCACCCAAATAAGGCTGTGGCAGTGTGAGTGATGAATCTATTTAATGGCAATGCAATGTCACATTTCCACGAAATCCTCAAAAGGAGGCAAAAGCAAGTGCCAGTGGATAGGTTCTTTGTTTAAGTTGCATAAAAAGAGAAAGATTCCATGGAGTCTATAGATAGCAGTGATTCCGTTAGTGATGGTGAAAGTTGTCCTACACAATAACCCTCTTCTCTCTTGTCTCCCTCACACCAGCCACTAAAGTTTTCAAAAGTGCAGATTAATTTTTCTTTATATTTTGTATTTTCTTAATTTTATATTATATTGCAGTGTGATAATGGAATAAGCTTAGGAATTCCCTGAGCCTGCACTGTTGGGTTAACAAGGCATAAAGAATTAAAAAGCCATAGGATACTCACACCCAAATTTGGGTAAACAAGATTAGGTAAATAAGTATAGAGAGGGTGGGCCAATGCCCCAATACAAAAGTATATGAGGTAAATAAGATTAGGTATTCAGGGAAGATACCACCCGCCCCCCCCACCCCCCCAACTCCCCAACTTAGTATTATAGCAGAAAGCTGCTTTTGCAGAAGGACCAAATTAGGTAAACAGGTAAATAGGGCTATAGACCACTACAGGGCAAAGCTGCCCAGAGCAGAGCTAGTTAACAAAAGAAAGGTTCCTAGTTGACTCTGAGGTTACATGTTCCACCTTTCTTGTCCCCAGACAAGTTTAGGTAAACAGGTGGTGCCTGCGGTCTGCTGTAAACAACCTTCCTCTGGGCACCAGGATTTTTTGTTTTGTATTAACCCAAACCCCTAACTCCACATATCTTCAAGATCCCCTTTCCCATGAGTCCATGAGTTAATGTTTACAGTTTCATTGTCTCTTTCTGCACGTTCATCACCATGTTTGTAGGCCTTCTGATCCTAATAAGAAAGGAGCAAGGACCCTTAATCAGGGGCTCTTGTCTTCTCCTGGACATTAGCCATCTTTCGCATTTTAATCCTGCATCCCGCTTTCTTGCTAGACAAGAAAGAACTCTAGGCCCAGAGTCTATGACATTACAGTATTGTGATCATTTTTATATGAATATTTTTGGGTTCTGGAACAAATCATCTGAGTTTCCATTATTTCTTATGGGGAAATTTGCTTTGACATAGAAGTGCTTTGGATTACAAGCATGTTTCCGGAACAAATTATGCTCACAAACCAGTATTTTACTGTATTTACACAATTCATTAGTAATCTGAGACTCTGCTATGACAAATAATCATTAGCATAGCAGATAACAGGTTTACTCTGTGAAAGTACAGTAAAACAGTTATATTACAAACAAAATAATATAGATCATTATTAAATTCAGGTGTATTAAAAGAAAATTTAATTACTCATATTATTAGGTGGTAATAGAAACATAGGCATGAATATAATGAGTGAATTAGCTGACAGCTCCCTGCTAATGTGAATCTCCATATAGCGGAGGCAATATCTAGTGCAATGGGATTATTTGCAAACGTTACCTTAAGATAGATATATTGTAGGCCAAATGCCAGAAGAGAGTGGCTCATTACAGCTCAGTGGTTCTCAACCATGGCTGCACCAGAGAATCACTTGGATAACTTAAGAAACACCCAATCCTCTACCCCCCCCAAAATCCTACAATAAAAAAAGCGAACACACACAAAAAGAACAAGACAAAAATATTGATGGTAACATCCCATTCTGAGCTAACTGTAACTAAAAAGTTTGAGTAGAGCCTTGGTAACATTTTAAGTGCCCCAGGCAACTGTAATACGCAGCCAGATTTATAATACACCGAACCATTCAAAAACAGAGTATTACTATCTAAAGAATGGGTTTATAAAAGAGATGATCTAAACACTGAGAAGTCAAAAGGAGTCTAAAGATCCCTAATGTGCCAGTATTCATACAGTTCAGGAGAATGTTCTAAGCCCAAAATGGGTCTTTAAGCTCTATACTGGCATAAAAATCCTTATAAAGGTTTGGTGATCTGCACACAGGCTTCTAGCCTATCATTACTCATGGACATCAACCATTAGATCTTTGTGCTAATTCCAGGCTTGTCAAGAAAACATATAATACCTAAATACTATTCAGAACAATTTTTCCCTAGTGGCATGTTTCCCAACAGGAAAAGAAGATGCCCATCTGAAAACAGGAGGAAGCAACAATCTCCACCATATATTGTTATTCTAATTTGTTCATTTTGTCTGAGTCTATTATTATGAGTATTTTCTTAGTGTGCCCACTTACAGGTGCTTTGAACAAAATCAAATATTGTATTTGTAAAGCTGAGGAAATCATATTGACACGAAGGTATAACTTTCATGAGACCTTTAATCTAGCCAGCTAACCTTTCAGTTTAAAATCTCAATGCCATGATTAAAATCACAACAGATACTAGCTTAAGTTGTAGGAATGGGTTCTAAGGGTCTCTGGGGATAAAAGGTAGGGGTAGAAGGAAATAAACTGACTAGAAAATAATGTATCTTATTATAGAACCATATTTTTTCCTCATTATCAAATATGTATTTTTTTAAAGGCTAGAATTAGGTGAGAACAGGAAGGTTTAAGAAAATAAAGTCTGCTTTTTAACAAGAAAAAATACTTATGTGCTGTGACTAAAGGAATGACAGACTTCACCCCCACCCTTGAGAAACTTCCATATTTAAAGCCTGCTTGGGATTCTCTCTCTCTGCCCTTCCTAAACTCATGATCACGTGAGTGCTCACATGCACTATCACTCTCAAAAAAAAAGTCTAATCTATTTATACTGAAGTCACATATTTTCAGATGGTTAAATATATCCAAAGTGGTCATCTCTTTGGCCTGAATCATGGAAAAAGAGAAAATTAGCAAGAAATAGATTTGTTTACACTTACTCATATACTAATGTTTGGTTTTCACACACATATATTATTTTTAAAAAGATTAAACCAAGGTATACATCTAAGGAAAGAACCATGTACTGCTTTAAAGATGATAACCACATCTTCAACTTCCTATGTAACATACAAATTTTTGGGAAACAAATTCATAAATGCTATGATGTCAATGTTGATAAAGAATTATGAGTAATAAACTACTAGAATTATTTAAAACCTGAGATACATATAAGCAATTAATAACTACTTACCTCAGACATAGGGGTTCCCCAGAAGTCATTCTGAAATAAAGTTTTTAAAGGTGTAGATGGATGCAGGTCTTTATTATCCAGTATTGCTGAAACATCATCAAAAACAAAACCACAAAAGAGGCTGTTCCAATAGCAGGCAGTAACCACACCTACTATTAAGGTTACTTCTTTGAGGTTAATATCAGCCATCTTTTCCACAAGCACTTGTGGATAAAATCTAGGAGGGAAAAATCATGAAAATAAAATAAGCATCATTTTTTTCAAATAAGTAAAATTTTAGTAGAAGGATAAGTAAAATAGCGAATGCTAATTCTCCTTGAGAGTATTTCAAAGCTCAGCTCAAATATCATCCACCTCTAAAAAGCATTAGCTGCCCACTCTCTTCAAATTTCTAACTTAAAATGAATTGCTGCTTCATGAATTTCATACCTCTACTACAATCACACCACTTAATCTCTGGATTTATATCTCTAGCTAACTAGATAGTGAATTCCTTATAAGTCGTCACAGGTCAGATTACTCAGGGAAACAGATATACATACAAAAAACTTTAAAAAAAACTAGTATGGTGTACTCAAGGAGTAGTAAATAAATCTTAGTGGGAAGGACAGTAAATTTTTGTGGGAAAACAAATATTTGAAAAAACATTGAACATGGATTTTCTGAAATGTATCTTGAAACTTCTATTTTAGTACTTAATATACTAGAAGATCAACTATTACCTAAATCAGGTGTCCAAACTTACAGCCCACAGCCTTGGTTTGGTTAAAACCTTTTAAACATATCTGTCTTAAATGTCTCTATAGGAATTCTAAGCCTAAGCTAGCTGTATACTAGCCATTTAAGTATCGTCTCGTCTTTAACCCTGACTTGTTTGACTGATTTATGTTATCTGGCCCATATAAGCTTAAAACCCAGTTCTAAATAGTGTTTCTTTTTCTTTTTACCACAAATGGTTTTAATATAGGGAATGGGCTTCACACATGAAAATTCATAATTAAGTCATTGTTTTAGAGAGGATTCAGTGAGGGGTACCTGGGTGGCTCAGTCGGTTAAGCATCCAGCTCTTGATTTCAGCTCAAATCACGTATCTCAGGGATGCAAAGGATGGAGCCCCGTGTCTGGCTCTGCACTGACAGCGCAGAGCTTGCTTGCAATTCTCTCCCACCCCCTCCCGCCCCTCTGCCCCTTCTCATTGGTGCTCTCTCAAAATAATTTTTTTTTTTTTTAAATAAAGGATTCAGTGAGAAAATGGTTTAGAGTAAAAGGCACTATAATTACTGGATGATACTGAAGAATCAGCCCTATAATTAAAATAAGGGTACTCTTGAAAAACAAGCTGATGATATACTTTTTTAGCTTGAGTAGTATCATTAGTATCATTTTAGGCTCATCACTTGTGGAAGATAGAACTATGCCCCTCTCCCAAACTGTCCACATCCAAATCCCCTGATCCTGTGAATATGTTACCTTACATGGCAAAAGAGACTTTACAAGTTGTGATTACATGGAGGGTTTTGAGATGAAGAGATTATATCCTTAATTATCTGGTGGGCCAATTCAATGACACGAAACCTTACAAAAGGCAGGCAGAAGAGTCAGAAAAGCAGAGATGAGAGTGATGTGACAGCAGGCTAGGGCCGTAAGGCAAGGAATGATGGCAGCCTCTAGAAGGTGGAAAGGCAAAAAAACCACTTTCTTCATTAGATTCTAAAGGGACCACAGCCCTATTGACATTTCAATTTTAGTCTAGTGAAACCCATTTTGCATGTCCATAGTTATAAAAATAAATTTGTTGGGGCGCCTGTGTGGCTCAGTCCATTATGCGTCTGACTTCGGCTTAGGTCATAATCTCCCGGTTTATGAGTTTGAGCCCTGCATCGTACTCTGTGCTGACAGCTTGGAGCCTGCTTGGGATTCAGTGTCTCCCACTTTCTGACCCTCCCCTGCTCATGCTCTCTCTTCTCAAGAATAAATAAACAGTAAAAAAATAAGTAAATAGAATTTTTGTTACTTTAAGCCAGCATGTTTGTGATAATTTGTTATAACAGCAAGAAGAAACAATACATCACTCACAGAGCCAAAAGATCTAAGGCCTGATATACATCTGGCCTAGATGTAGAGAGGAAGAATACAGTAGGGAGGGCAGAGAGAGATTTAAAATCAGACCTAAGTTTATATAAAGATACACACACAAGCCTATTAAAGTGCCTTTAGAATTGGATAGGAAAACCTTAGAATATATTACACTTAAAGAAATGCAAAACCCAATGCTACCAATCACCAAAGGAAATTAGCTGTACCTTTTGAAGGATAGTTTTAACTAAAAGAAAAATTATCTAAGGGTTTATCTTGAGTCCACAAGTGATTTATCATCTCTAAAGAGTAAGACCTTATACCTTATTATCATAGAAAAAGCTGATAGCACTTGTTTAAAGATTGGAGACTGACCAGGCATTATTTGCCTCACTCATTCTCAACTACACACTAAAATGACAAAGTATTAAAAGAGAAAAGAAAGGGGGGTATAAATTCCCAAGGATAAACACCACTGGAGAGGCAATCATAGCAAGTTTTGGAAGCTGGAAAAACAAAATTTATCAAGTGACCTAACAGAGCTCAGGAAAGTGAATCTAAAGCTTAAGGTGGAAAACTTAAAAAGTTTTTTGCATCCCTGCCAGCATCAATCTCAAAACTGGTGACAAGATCTCAAGAAATAGGTTGGAACATATGGATTTGTTAGAATTTAGGACCCCTTTCCCATTGGGTACAGGCAAGTGACCTCTTCTATAGCAGGGGAGAAGATCAGAGACTTCCTCTCTGAAATAGGTGAAATACAAGGTGTCTGACACAGAAGACACAAGTCAGAAGGCAGCAAACTGAAAATGAGGGTTAACCAGAAGTCTGTCTATATACATTTTGAGACACTCCAGCTCTTTTTTACAAACTGGTATAGAATCTTATAAAATATTACAACTCTGGAAACAAACAAAAAGGACTCTAAAAGCTTCCACAAAGAAAACAGGTTCCATACCAAAGATTATGAATCCAAACAAATCTTTTTTTTTTTTTCTTTCACTAATACCGGAAGCTAGATGCAGAAGAAAAAGGGAGTAATGCTTCAAGTTTCTGAGGGATAATAATTTCCAACCTAAAATTCTATGTTAATAAACACAAATTACCCAACTAAGAAACTAGAATAAAAATATTTTAAGACATTCAAGGTCTTAAAAACATTACCTCTGTCTCCTCTTTTCAGGAAACTAATAGAAGATGTATACCAGTAAAATTAGGGAGTATACTAAGAAACAGAGAGAGGGAAATCAGGAGACAGGGGATCCAATGCAAGATAGCAACAAAAGAAATACCCAGAAGAAAACAAAAACTAAACAAAACAAAGCAAAAAAAGAAATACCCAGAATGACAACCATGCAAGCAAGTCAACTAACCACTTCATACTAGAATAGGTCAGAAGGTTCTTGAACAACACTCCCAAGAAGGTATAAACAGAGCACCTAATGGTGAGAACCATGTTACTCTTACAGTGTGTGTGTGTGTAATTGAAATTTAGGAAAACAAAACAACTCAGAACATCCACCATGGGATAGATGAAAATCAGGTCTTGTGTATCGGTCAGAAACCTCTCTCCCATAAATAACGTCAGGTCCCTGACCTGGTGACACTTGGAGTTCTTACCTCAAACTGCTGTTAAACTATTTGGTTAAACATTCTCACCACAGGAAAAATTAAAATAAATAGAGGAAATAGGAGTAAATTAAACCCGTGGTTTTACTACTTCACAGTTATATTTGGGAATTAACATGTATTTGATTATTAGAGTACTTATAATGTTCAGAATAATCTTATACACTGTAGACTCTTGATATATGAGCTTCAAAAATAATTTAAAATGCAATTTTATATGACACAATGATATGTAAAATATACATAATATTAAATTATTGGCCATGCAGTTTGTGGATTTAGGCTTTTTAGCTGAAAAGTATACTAATTTAGCCAAGTTTGCAAATATATTGGAATTTTTGTAAAGACTTGGGAGTTGCTATAGTTTTAAGTTTAATTTATTAGGTGTATACAAATTGTTTTAAGTACTGAGAAAATTTTGCTTTTTAAGTCAGGTGTCTTGAGTCCTTGAATAAAAATTAGGTTCAGTTGGTTAAGCATCCGACTTCGGCTCAGGTCATGATCTCACGGGTTCCTGAGTTTGAGCCTCCTATCTGGCTCTCTGCTCTCAGCACAGAGCCTGCTTCAAATTCTGTCTCCCCCTCTCTCTCTCTCTGCCCCTCCCATGCTCATGCTCTCTCTCAAAAATAAACATTAAAAAAATAATAAAAATATATTAAAATTATAAATGCAATTTTAAATTAAGGCAATTTAACCAAGTTTTAAATGTAGCTTATGCATTTAGTCCTTTCAATTTGAATTATATAAAAAAGGGGGTGGGGGGGCGTGTAAGTTTACAAACATAATAAGACTTTTAGGTTGAATTTAAAGGTTTACAAAACATAAGGTTATAAAATGTTACTTTAAAAAACTTGGACAGTTCCCAGGATTTCTAAATATAGTTAGGTAATTAAGAGTTATACAATCACATTAAGTTGCAAACAGTTCCATTCAGTAATTGATGTGCTCAATGCCAACATAATAATCAAAACCCTCAACTTGATTTAACTTTAGGGATTGTCTTCTGCTCCAAGCTCAAGCTCACTGCAAATGAGAAGCCTTGTGACATGGAGAGGGGGTTCAATGCTCTCTTTCTTTACCTAGAGATGATAGTACCTTACATGCTTGTTAAACATAAAGAAAGGAAAGCAAAAATGCTTACTTGACCATTATATCAAAGATGAGATTCTCATAGGTGTTTGTTACCATGTACCCCTTTTTCTAAAAATCCAGTAGTACAACTGTGGAAAAAATAAACCTACAGGAAAATTTTATATGAATTTGTGACTAACCTGGGAAGTAGAGTTCTCTCAGTTCAATAATTTCATGATCTTCTCCAATAAGAATAATCTGTATTTTATGACTATTTTATTTTTTTTTTTTAATTTTTTTCAACGTTTTTTATTTATTTTTGGGACAGAGAGAGACAGAGCATGAACGGGGGAGGGACAGAGAGAGAGGGAGACACAGAATCAGAAACAGGCTCCAGGCTCCGAGCCATCAGCCCAGAGCCTGACGCGGGGCTCGAACTCACGGACCGCGAGATCGTGACCTGGCTGAAGTCGGACACTTAACCGACTGCGCCACCCAGGCGCCCCATTTTATGACTATTTTAAAGTGTATAAAACTTTGGCCTGCAAAGCTTATGAAGTATTTACTCTGACTCTTCCTAATCTTTCCAGTCTCATGTCAAGAGACAAGTGTCAGCTTGCTGCACACTGAATCTTCTCTACTAGAACAGACAAAATGAAATATTTTATACACAGTGGATACTAAAGTTCTCATGGTTATGCTTTATTATAGATGCTGGAAAATAACCTACCATTCATTTTCTTGATAAAGCAGCAAAAAAGGGAATGGAAGTAATATCTGAACAAAATAAGTTGACTGATACAGGGAACAGAGGTAGCAATTACAAAAGGGAAAGTCTTTTTTGTGAAATGATTTTGATTAAATAAAACTGCTCATAAAACCAGAGAGAAGACAGAAGGCAGGTCCAGGCAAGTGTTCCTGTAGCAAGGACATTTATAAAATTATCACATCTCTTGGTATCACTCTTCTCTTTGTAAAAACTGACTGATGCAGAAAATATGATAAAAAAAAAAATAACAGTTTTAGCGATTTTCCTCAAAATTAGAGTGACTGAAGTAGAACTTGAGTTAAATTTGATTCACAGCTACGTACATACTATAATGCATAAGGACGTAGACCATAGCAAACTTGTTTCCTGTTGTATCGCCCTTGTCTAGCTGTTGGGGAAGGTCATTGAAAAGATGTGACTGACAGGGGGGCCTGAGTGGGCCAGTTGGTTAAACCTCTGATTTTTGATTTTGGCTCAGGTCATGTTTGTGGGATTGAGCCCCGCATAGGGCTTTGTGCTGACAGCACAGAGTCAGCTCAGGATTCTCTTTTTCTCCCCCTCTGCCTTTTCCCCACCTGCACGCCAAAATAAACTTAAAAAAAAAACAAAAAACAAATGTGACTGCCAGCTGATCTATAAATTGGGCCCAAGTGATCTGTCCCCTCCAGTTGGAATGTGGGTTGTTTGCTTTTCATGCAAGCTTTGCTATCCCAAAGGCTACTGCAAGGACATAGCCTTGAGATAATGATATGGTGTTGAGAACACCTGCACAATATACTTGACTGAACCCAGTTAAGGCCTCTCTATATAAGCTTTTCAGATTGGGTGGGTGCAGGGGTTCATTAGTCTTTCCACTATGCAAGACAAGCCTCATAGGTAAGTACCCTTTACTTAGTGAAGCTGCCACCTACCAACCTGGAATGGCCTTCCCCTTTGTCTCTCTGCCCTCCATGTTCAGAAGCCAGTTTCGGATTACACCTGGAAAGCTCCTAAGGAGGTTATAAGTCAATGCTAGGACAGTGTACAAGCTCAAAAATATTGTTAGAGTAAAAAAAAAAAAATGAAATTTAAGATTTTGCATTTTGTCAGGACTGTAATTGAGATCTGGGTAACAGTCTTAGATTCATTAACTATTAGGAAATTACTTAGCTTCTCTGAATTTATTTTCACTTCTGAAAAGTGAAAATAAAATTTACCATTAGACCAGGTACCTTGAGATGCTGGCAATATAAATGTGAACAAGAGGATGAGGGGAACTAAGGGTAGTAAAGGTGAAAACAGACAAACGAAACTAGTAAATGAATATACAGAATAGTGATAATGAATGAAAAACAAGAAAAAAAACAAGGTGCTACAGAAAAATCAGATTCCACGAAAATAAATATGCAGTTTTAAGCACATGATTAGATCTCATCTCTTCCCTTCCTTGCTAAATTATGAATTAAAAACTGAACATGAAAAACGTAATTCAAATTCTTGAGTAAACAAAGTTACATCATTAGAATGTGATATTTACTACAGACAGCAAGACTGAAGAAGAAGCACTCCACAGATACTGGTTCCAGCATGCCTGAGGAGGTAGTATGGCAGTCAAGAGAATGACCTCCAGCCAGAAAGATCCATGCCCAATATCACACTATTTAAGCACAGTACTTAACTTCTCCAAGCTTAAGTTTTTAACTTAGTTGGAAAATGAGGATAATATAGGCACCTACTCCACTGGACTGTGATGAAGAGTAAGTGAGATAGTGTGACAAAGTTATAGTATTGGCATTTGTATAGTTATGGCATTTGCATAAAATATACAGATTAATGGAACAAGACAGCCCAGAAATGAACAAAGGACCAAAAATACATAACGAAGAAAGTAGAGTCTAATAACTGGTGTTGGGAAAACTGGAGAGCCACATGTCAAAGAATGAAAGTGCATAATCTTACAGTACTCACAAAAATCGATACAAAATGGATTAAAGACTTGAGTGTAAGACCTGAAACCATAAAACTCCTAGAAGTAAACATAAAGGTAAACTCCTCGACACTGACCTTGACAATGATTTTTTTTTTTTGGATTTGAAACCAAACGCAAAAAGGAAAAATAAACAAGTGGGACTACATTAAACTAAAAAGCTTCTGCACACCAAACTATTAACAAAATGAAAAGGCAACTTATGGAATGGGAGAAAATACCTGCAAATCATACATCTGATAAAGGATTAATATCTGAAATATGTAAGGAACTTAAACATCTCAACAGCAAAAAAAACAAAAGAATCTGATTTAAAAACAGGCATAGGCACCTGGGTGGCTCAGTCAGTTAAGAGTCCAACTCTTGATTTCGGCCCAGGTCTTGACCTCACAGGTTCGTGAGTTTGAGCCCAGAGTTTCTTTTTTTTTTTTTTTTTTGTCAGGGCAGAGCCTGCTTGGGATTCTCTGTCTTCTTCTCTTTGCCCCTCTCCCATTCTTTCTATCAAAAATAAACATTTAAACAAACAAAAAAACAAAAGAACTTCTTCCAAAGACTTACAAATGGCCAACAGATACATGAAAAGGTGCTCAGTATCACTACAGCAGGGAAATGCAAATCAAAACCCTGAGACACCACCACACACCTGTCAGTTTACTGTCATCCTAAAGACAAAAGATAACAACTGTGGTCAAGGATGTGGAGAAGAGAGAACCCTCGCACACTGCTGGTGGGAATGTAAACTAGTGCAGCCTCTACAGAAAACAGCCAGGAGGTCACTCAAGATTTAAAACAGAACTACCATATTATCAAGCAATTACACTTCTGGATACACATCCGAAGCAAATGAAACCACTATCTGGATGAGATATCCATCGCAGATACCCCCCATATCCATTGCAGAATTATTTACAATAGCCAAGACATGGAAATACCTTAAGTGACCACTGGCAGATGAATCAAGAAAATGTGGTGTATACATACAATGGAACATTATTCAGCCATGAAAAGAATGAAGTCTTGCAATTTGGGACAACATGGATGGACCCTGGGAGCATTATGCTAAGTGAAATAAGTCAGATGGAAAAAGACAAATACCGTATGATCTAACATGTCCAATCTAAAAAAAAAAAAAGAAAAAAAAAAACAAACCAAAACAACCAAAAAACAAAAACGAACTCATTGAAACAAACAACAGACTAGTCAAAAAGTAAAAGAGTTACAAGGTACGCAGGTTCTGGGGATGTAATGTAAGCATGTGAAAAAGATAATGAACAGTGTGTGGCATATAATCTCAGTAAAGGATACAACAAAATCATCATTCATTCCTACATTTTAAAGACATTCATCAGATTTGTATCTTACGAAATCGAGATGTTTTTATTTTTTACTGAGCTATTTGTTTTACCCAAACACGTGGTTTGGAAAAAAATCTGTATATTTTCAGAAGGAAAATATATCAATTACAATTAAGAAAAAGTCCTAAAAAGAAGATAATTGTAAGAGGCAATGGTCCAAACAGTTGAAAATGTCATTTCAAGTTTAAGGCTTTTTGAGAAAGTTACCTACTAGTATATTATATTTCAGAATGGCTGAGCGCAGCAGGATGGGGAAACTTTCTCCAAAAGAACTGTAAACACCTGAGAACACTTTCATATAAGGGCATCTTCGGTAACCAAGCAAGTGACAGTTTCCGGGCTGGTGAGCACTGAGGCCCTTCTCTCTCCACCCCAGCAGTAGCCTGGACAAATTCTAAACTCCCCTCTCTGGAGCCTTCACTCTATGCCAGTACCTCAACCTTCAGGTCCTCCGATCCACGAAGGCTACGGTGCTACAGGTAAGGCGGACAGAAAAGAATGTGTCCTTTTCTCGATTCTTTACTCACCCCGAAATCACGATCTTGGCGGCGCGGCCCCCACTCCACTGTACTGAATGGATTCTGAGAGCAAAGAAAACTAAAACTTTTTCTTCTTACAGAGGGTACCACCCCGGGAACGTTTGCAACCCCTAAGGATAAGGGTGCTTCCCACCTCTTCAGACCTGGACCGAGTCCTTCCGCCCCAAAGCACGAGCTTCTTTAAGCCGGGACCGCTCCCCTCAACTCCTCCCCCGCCGCTGACCCGTAGCCCGACCTCACCTGGGAGCAGTTCCACCAGGGGATGGCTTAGGGAAATCTCAGGAAAAGCGGCCCAGCGAGTGACGCCACTGAAGGCACAGTCATGGTCTATCTAATTCTGGTCACCGGCGCACACGCGCCTCAGCCACTGCGCCTCCCGCCTCCGGGTCGTTCCCCCACCACCCCAGCACCGTCGCAGCCTCCCGCATTGCACGCCGGGAACGGCCTACCTCCACATCTCAGAAACTTCATTTCCCAGCATGCATAAACTTTGCATGCAGAACTGCACTCTGGGATTTGGAGTCCTCATCCCTCACCTTCTCCCAGTCTTTAACAGAGAGTACAAGGGACCTTGCAGGAGAATCTAAACGCAAAGCATCACCCAAGGTCGTGAAATGTAGGCTCCCCTCGCATCCGGGGCCTTGTTCCGTCTTTAGCTGGGTGGGGAATGGTGTCGCCTAGCAGCCGCTGCCGCTCTTGATTGCACTGGACCAGTTGGCGGGATCCAGAGACCCGGGGGAAGCGCGCTGTGGAGCGGTCGGGCGTAGCGGCGGGACCAAGCTTGGTCCGTGCGGCAGATGAGGGGACGCTGCTGGTTGCCATCCTTGGTTAGGTGGGTGGATTTTGGTGAGAGGGAGCAGCCAGTTTGTTTCCAAGCAGGTTCTTTAAGCCTCAGGGCCCGTATGTAACAGCCTAGCTTCCCTGCTCCCTAGTCTTTGCTTGGCAACCCATTTGTCTTCTAGCTTCGGCCCTGGTTTCCTCGGCCTACCTGCGCCCATTTCAGCCGTTTCCGCACCCTTTTTACCCCCAATTCCTGCTTCTCCGAATCAGGACTCATTTTCAGCCTTCCAGGCAGCCCCGCGCTTGGCACCATTAGATATTCGAGCGCCTCTAGTGATAAGGGGGGGCGTAGAGGAGGAGACGCAGAACCTTAGTTCTGATCTAGATGAGTCTTAGGAAGGGAGCTTGTAGTTTATTCAGCTGGTGCAGCATCTGCTGGTTTGTGCCAGCTGTAATTTTGATCAAGGCTATATATATCTGTATATATGTATATCTGTCATACAATTAAGGAGCCATTGCTCTTTGCTAACATCTTAGAGTTATAATGATGTAATCTACAAAAACAGTAATGTTGTTTACATTGAAAATGCTAATACCCACCTGTTCTGTTACAGAAGGTAAAGCGCAGTGAAAGATTTCACGATGCCACCTAATATAAACTGGAAAGAAATAATAAAAGTTGACCCAGATGACCTGCCTCGTCAAGAAGAATTGGCAGATAATTTACTGGTTTCCTTATCCAAGGTGCTTAACTGATAAACAATACATAGTTGTTTGTGTACATACACGCACAACTATGATTAAGTTGTCCACGAAATCAATGAATGTCACAAATGGAAGAGTTCTCATATTTTGCCTAAGGGTTATAAAATATAAAATAGTTGCTTTCTCTTTACTTAGGTGGAAATAAGTGAGCTAAAACATGCAAGTCAAGAAAATGTGATACACCTTTTCAGAATTACTCAATCACTAATGAAGGTTTGTATGCTGTGGGTTTTAAGAATGGTTTTGACTATTAGAGGACGTTTAAGGAACTGTTCTTAAATAAGTTAATCTTTATGAAAGTACCAAGATCACTGAAAATGAGATTGCTTCAAATGTGGATTGAGGATTTTAGTGTGCAAAACATTGCTAGTTTCTGCTCTAAAGTTCCTAGAAGAATGTATAAGGGAAACAGGATGGGGGTGTTTAAAAATAACATATGGAGGTCCTTTGTTAATTATGTTAACATAATTCTGAAGTCAGAATGAAAAATATGAATGACTTCTGTAGGGATTTGTTAGGAAGGGGAGAGATTTTGGTGTGAGAGGCCTCATAAAGGGCAAAGGCCAATGAGTATACTGCAGGTAGAAATCACCCTAAATAAAAACTGGGACTAGAAAATGTGCTTATTCTTTACATTTGAGGAGACAGGTGCAGAAAGTTAATAGTAAGTTGTAGAGAAAATAAATGTTGGGTATAGTTTACAGTAGTCTAAGTATGTTTTATGCTATCACCTGTGAGGAGCTGTTAGGATTTTTGAGCCATGATTGATTCAAAAGTATTCCTCAGGAAGGCTAAACTAGGTATGTTAAAAGGACAGAATGAAGGGAATTGAAGCTGTTTAGACAGAACGTTGTGAAGGAGGTTAAACATAAGATTCTGGACTAGAATAATTACAATTGGAATAGGAAAAGATAGTAGAAAACATTACGGAAAAATTAGAACATTAGAAAAGTTACATTACCACGTATGAGATTGAGGAGAAAAGGAGGAATCAAAGATATTTTGAAGCTGTCATATCCTTAAATAAGAAAGTCATCTATTCAACAAACCTTTACTGAAAATCTCCATATCCCAGGTACTGAAGGCATTAAATACTAGGAAAGCAAATGAAACAAAGTCCTTGTTTTCAGTGCTTTTGTAAAGGCATATTGAAATAACTTTTCTTTTTAAATGTTTAGATGAAAGCTCAAGAAGTAGAACTAGCTTTGGAGGAAGTTGAAAAAGCTGGAGAAGAACAAGCAAAATTCGGTAATGCCCTGGAAGAAGTTTATCATAGTGTCCAATAGGGGACTCTGTTTAACATATTCTATAAAATGTGTGTATTCCCAACTTACTTTGAAAGACATGTCTAGAACTCCTGTTTTATGGATTAGTTATAGAAGTTACTTTCTCTTATGTTACCTTATTACAATCATGATGGAGTCTTTAAAAATAATTTTATTACTTTATTGAAATTTATGTAAAAGTTTGTTTTGAGATAAATCTGACCAATTGAAACTTTTTTTTTTTAATAGAAAATCAATTAAAAACTAAAGTAATGAAACTGGAAAATGAACTGGAGGTATGTCCTTTTGTATTTCCCTAGGGTGTAATTGTTAATTTTATTACTTTGAATTAATACTTTTACAATTTCCTGTTGTCTGGAAAATCACAAGAGTGATATTGTGTTCATAATTGTTCAACATATATTTTATATATTTATTACATACCTTAAATTCTAAGAATTGAGCATTCAGTTGTGAACAAAATAAAAACATTAAATATCCTGAAGTTTACAGACTAGAGGGTTATACAGAAGATTACTAGTAACTGAGCTGGCATGGAGGCATATGGGAATTTGAGGAATAGTGACAGAAGGATATGGCAGAAGAAGTAGCTTTTGAGAAAGCTAAGAGCCAAAATATGAATGTAGTGTTAAGGAACCAATACATTGAAATTCCTGAGAATGTGGGAAGGAATGTGCTACAAAAATTAGCCTTTAAAAGGGAGAAAAGACCTTCTTTTTAATAGGAAGAATGGATGTGTATAGAAGCTTTTATGTTTGTAGGTTTAGTACCTGGAAGTGGAGAGATTGGAGGGATTGCTAAAAATAAGAGGGGAAGATATATGGTCAAATTTTAAGGAAGATTAAGCTTCAAAAATAGTGGAGAATGAAGTGGAGATTAGGAGATACAGAGTCAGATGATTTGCGTTCAAATTCTGATTCTTTTACTTATTAACTGTGAACTGGGAGGAGTTATTTTTTATCCCCTACTGTATATCCATCTCCTAAAAGAATATCAGCCACTCTCAGTTAATACTTACTAAATTAAGGGGCGCCTGGGTGGCGCAGTCGGTTAAGCGTCCGACTTCAGCCAGGTCACGATCTCGCTGTCTGGGAGTTCGAGCCCCGCGTCGGGCTCTGGGCTGATAGCTCAGAGCCTGGAGCCTGTTTCCGATTCTGTGTCTCCCTCTCTCTCTGCCCCTCCCCCGTTCATGCTCTGTCTCTCTCTGTCCCAAAAATAAATAAACATTGAAAAAAAAAAAATTAAAAAAAAAAAATACTTACTAAATTAATTCTGAAGTTGGATTCATTCTGTTAGTGTTTAGCCAGGTACCTGCTGTGGAATGGAAGGATAGGGCTGTGGGAGATACTGGTAAGAAACTGGTTGATGTGATTATGAAATCTCAGCTGATGGGTAAAGAAATCAAGATTTGATTGGTGGGAGAGGTTAGAGAGGAGTCCAGGGATTAGAGGGTCCTGTGAGGTCAGAGGGCAGGTATACTAGGAATCATGAGAGAATGTTTCTGCTGGCACAATGTTCTGGTGTGGGCATGAAAGTGGGAGGCTATAGTGAATTCAAGAAGCATGTAAAAAAAAAATAATAATAATAATGAGAGAGAGACCAGAATGAGAGTTATATGGATGTGGAAACTGCTTAGTGGGGCTTTTTGTGGAAGACTAGGAGCCATGTGCCAAAAATTCTCAATGAATTTTGAGAGGGAACAGTTGGGAAGTTAGTAGTTTGCTACTACCCTGAGTAGGTAGGGATTAGATAACTGGATATCATGTGGAATTCAGAGCAGCTGGAGTTTTCACAAAATGGTGGAGGAAGGATAGCCTGGAAGTTGCAGGTTGAGGTAAATCAACACCATGTCTTGACCCTAAGGTCTATGGGATGTGAAAGAATGAGCATCTCCCAATTAAAAGACTTCCAAAGGAATTAGTATATTAAAGGAACCAAATTGGACCTAAGGCAGGGAGATGGAGAGTATGATTCAGTAAAAGGGCTGGGGGTATAAAATATTAATTTATCTTGATTTTTGAGAGCACAATGGAAGGTTTTCTGAAGGAGGAAAAGAGTGAGAAAAGTATTATATAGGATTAATACAACTGTATTGTAAAGAGATGAATGTGAGACAGGTAGATGACAAAAGGATGTTTTGGACTATGAGTCCAAATAACAGGAACATGAAGTGAAATGGATTTAATTTGCCATAAGATTTTTTTTTTTTTTTTAAATCCCCTAATGTGAGGCTCGAACTCATGACCATGAGATCAAGAGTTGAATGCCCTACTTACTAAGCCAGCCAGGTGCCCAATCTGGCACAACATTTTAAAGATGATCTTAGTCTAGGCCAATCTAGTACAGTGACACTAATCACTTGTGGTTATTTGCAAGTGGCTATTTAAACTTAAATTCATTACAATTAAAATTAAAAATTCAATTCTGTAGTTGCAGTAGCCACATTTCAAGTGCTCAAAGCCACATGTAGGTAGTGGCTGTAGTACTCTACTGTGCAGAGAACATTTCCATTATCCTAGAAAGTCCTGTTAGACAGCAATGGTCTAAAGAGAGTCTGAGGGAAAGGGCAGGTTAAGAGCACCAGAGGTCAGCG